TTGTGACTTTGATCACAATAGCAAGGAGTTGGAAACAACCTAAGTGCCCATCAACAAACGTATAGAGAAGCTGTGGTACATTCACACAATCGAATACTACACTGCATTGGAAAACAAGGAACTCATGCAATATTATTCAAAATGGGTGACTCTGGAGGACATTATGCCGAGTGAAGTATCTCAGTCACAAAAGGACAAATACTGCATGGTGCCACTGTTGTAAAACAGGACTGACATCGGGATTGGGGAGGAGACTGAGAAAGATGGGTTCAGTAATGTATACTGCATTGAAACAGATGAGGGAGAAAACTGTTTAAAAGGGATATGTGATTAGGTATTTCTGTCATGACAGGAGTCTAGAGCGAAGGCTACATGATGGTGTGAACCTGGGGAAAGGTTTGTAAAACAATGAAAGAATTTTTGTTTTACTTTTACAAGAGGGTAGTGTACAGGGGTGGAGGGTTTGGAGGGGAGAAAAGTGCAGCAAGGAATGAATGGAAAGCCAAAGTCTCTGTAACTTTTTACTGAAATTAATAATAAATGAAAAAAAATGAAATAAAATTTTTAAAAACCCCAAAACCACAATGTACATGCGTAAAACATTATATATGTGAATGATTGCATGTAAACCAATAAAAATATGAAAAATTATATAAAAGAAATTCAGATGTCAGTATCCCAGAATCATATCGTTAGTGCTATGAAATTCATGCGAGAATCCTCCAAGAGTTCTGGTAGACCTTCCTACCTTTGGTGCCTTTGAATCAGTGCTCCATGAGCACTGTTGTGCCTGAACTCCTTGTAGTCACTGTGTCAGTCCATCTCACTGAGAATCTTCCTCTTTTTTTTTGATCCTCCACTACCAGCGTGTCCTTCCCTAAGGACTACCTCCCCGCCCAATAACATGCCCAAAGTATATGAGAAAAACAACAACAACGCTGAAACCAGTACCTTCACTTTAACAAAGAGGAGTTTATTGTCTCACAGTGTTGGGGATGTCAGTCCAGTCATGATCTCAACCCTGCCCAACAATATGAACTGTCGCCATGGTTGTTGGATGCCATCTAGTTGGCTCTGTCTCACGGTGACCCCATGTACAACAGAACCAAACCCCGCCTGATCCTGGGCCATCCTCACAATCTCTGTTGTATTTAGTCATTGTTGCAATCATCATGTCAGTCCGTCCCCTTGAAAGTCTTCATCGTCTTCACTGACTTTCTACTTTTCCAAGCATGATGTCCCTTTCCAGGGACTGGACACTCTAGATAACATTGTGGGTTTGAAGTGTTGAGTTGACCATGATTCACAGAGACCCTACGAATAACCGAAGTGAACATTTCCCTCTCTTCTGCATCTTCACCATCGCTGATAAACGTGAGTCCATCTTGTCAAGGGTCTTCCTTTCTTTCAGTGACCCTCCACCTTGCCAAAGATGATACCCTTTTCCAAGGTCTGGCACCTTCTGACAACATGTCCCAACTTTATGAGATGATGAAGTTTTACCATGATTGCCTCAAGGGAGCATTGTGTCTGCACTTCTCCCAAAAAAGATTGGCTTGTTTTGTAGCCAATGGCATATTCAGTACTCCTTAGTAGCTTCCAAATTCAAAGGCATCAGTTCTTCAGTCTTCCTTATTAAATGTCCAACTTCTGCATGGAGCAGTTGTGAAAATGCTCTAGCTTGGGTCAGATACCTTCATTTTGTAATTTTCAAAAGCTGTTTCACAGCCATCTAAGGTGCAACTATTGTCTCTGTGTCTGGAACAAAGAAGAGAGAAGAAAAGCAAGAATGCACTGAAATAATTAGTCCAGAAAACTAATGGACCATGTGAGCCTCAACTGCCATGACCCTGATACCAGAAGAACTAGATGGTGCCCAACAACCACGACTGACCACTCTCACAGGGATCATAGGAAAAGATCCTGGGCAGAGTGGGAGAAAATGGGAAACAAAAATTTTAAAAACCTATATTTTTTAAAGACAGACTTACTGGTCCAAAAGCGAGTGTTGGAACCCATGAGACTGTGACTCTTAGTTGCCCTTCAGAACTTGAATAAAACTCAACCCCATGGATCAGCAATCACCCAAGTATACCCAGGCCGATAGGGTGACCAGTAACATCAGAGAGGCACCCACTCCTTAGAGCTGCCAACTGTGTAAAGTCAAAAGAGTAGCATTTGCCCAAGGAAAAAGGCCTGAATGTGCAGAGAGGCAGGATGGAGGTGTTAATAGAAATGAATGAGAATTACAGGGAAGAAGTGGGATAAAGTGTGATTACAGTATGGGTGTTATAATCAGTGCTATGGAATAAAATGTATATGACTGGTTGAATAAAAAAATCAGTATGTGCTGTGAACATTTATTCAGATTAACAGTAATAAAAAATAAAGCGTAATATTGAAATATAAGGTACTTATGGTAAGTCCACAATTCTAAGTGTGCTGCTATTCTTATTCTCTGTCGTTGTTGTTATGTGTCATCGAGTCGCCTGCGACTCATAGCAACCCTATGTACAACAGCTTTAACCTTGCTCTATCCCTTGCCAATCTCATTGTGTCTGACACAGCTACCCCCTTAACCCCAGTGACTGAATCCATCCATCTCATTGAGGGTCTTCCTCTCCTGCGCTGTCCCTCCACCCTCCCAAGCATGATGTCCCTCTCGGACTGGTCCCACAACATGTCCAAAGTAGGTCAGAATCCTTACCTCCAAGGAGCAGCCTGGCTTCACCCTTTCCAGGGCAAACTTGTTTGTTCTCCAAACAGTCCATGGTATATTCAACACTCTTCTCCAGCATCACAGCTCAAAGGCATCAACTCTCCTTCTATCATCTCTAGTCATTGTCCAGCTTTCTGATGCATAGCAAGTAATTACAAAGACCATGGCTTATATCAGACACACTTTAGTCTCCAGTCTGACCTCGTTTCTCTTCAGTACTTTGGAGAGGTCTCTGACAGCAGACTTTCCCAATGCAATTTATCTTTCTCATTTCCTGGCTACTGGTACAAGAGTGTTGATTATGGAGCCAAGCAAACTGAAGCTGTCAACAATCTCAATCTCTTCACCATGTCTCATGATGCTGCTAATCGGTCCAGTGGTGAGAATCTTTGTTTTCTTATTAGGTCTGTTCTTATTAGGTGTCTTCTAAGTGTGCAGTTTGTTCAGTTTTCAAAAATATGTGCTCCTGTGCAGCCACCTTCCAAATCATAAAAAGAAGCCTCTCTCCTGCTTTATCCTATTTCACTCACTGTCCCACCATCCTACGCACTGTCCTGATTTCTGCCACTAGAGACTCATTTTTTTACAGTTATTTTATTTTTTTTAATCTTAATGACTTCACCTGGTAAGCAGGACGATCATCTCTGCCTTGTTGTGTTACAGTAGAGTTCATGAAGCTGAATCCACACAGGAACCAGCTCTGCCTCCCAAACGCTTAGCTTCTTGTCTACAGGTCAGCCTTCTCTTCTAACGATTCAGACAGGAATACAAGGAATTCTTCAAGCAGATTAATGGAGGAAGGCTTAGGCAAGAAGGAGAAAAAAATGACGGTGCCAGCCTTCTAATTAAATGAAATGAAAGGAAAAATCATTTTTAGTTATATGTTTTATTTATGGTTTTTGTTTCTTTTTGCCCATTAGGGTGACAGTGGGTGCCACTGAGTTGATGTCACCTCACAGCAATCCTCTGTGACAGAGGAGAGTTTTGCCATTGGCTATACAAAACTAAATATTTTTTAATAAATAAAACTTTTATATTGGTTTGCTTACAAAGTGCATATACATAGTGTTTCACATTACCCTTCATTCCCATTCATTATGTTTTATAAAATTAACAAGCATTGAACTCTGCCCACCATTGCCCTTCCTTTCCAGATGCCCACTGGATCTTTCCCATTTCCTTTACCCGCCTTTCCCTCCACCCATCAAATCGTGTGACCCTATGATTTCCTCCTCCTGCCCATCTTTACCGCTCTGCTCCTACCTTCCCACCCTAAGATCCTCATACACATTTTACTAGTTATCTTTCTATTTCTACAGTAATGTAAGCCTTTGAGCTGTGGTGCTAGAGAAGAGTATTGAATATACCATGGACTGCTAGGAGAACAAACAGGTTTATCCTGGAGAGGGTGAAACCAGGCTGCTCCTTGGAGGCAAGGATTCTGAGGCTTCGTCTGACATACCTTGGACATGTTGTGAGGAGAGACCAGTCCTTGGAGAGGGGCGTCATGTTTGGGAGAGTGGAGGGGCAGTGCAGGAGAGGAAGACCCTCGATGAGATGGATCAATTCAGTGGTTGGAGTAATGGAAGTAGGTGTGTTGGAGTCAGCAAGGTTGGCACAGAATAGAACAGTGTTTAGGGCTCTTGTACATAGGATAGGATCACTATGAGTTGCAAGCGACTCAACTACACATAACAGCAACAGAGTAAGCCATAATCTTTAAAGAAGCGGGACGCCAACTCTTTGTCCTTAGGAACTATTGGAGAACTCTGGCCGTTCATTCACATCACAGCCTAGTGCTTGATTGTTGTATCACTTGGGCGCCATTTTTCCAATCTTCAGTGCAAAGACTGAATTTGGAAGCTCTAGGGAGAAGAAGAAAAAAAACCCAACCAACCATGCACTCCACAGAGGTAGCAGGCCTTCAAGTCATGGCTACTTTTTCCTCTGAAAGTTTTCTCCACATTCGTGGAAATTTTCACCTAGGAAAGCATTTGTTATTTGTTACAAGTTCGGGTTCATTGTGCCTTTGGCAGTCCACCTACACCGTCCTTCTCAGCAGCTCCTTCCTCTGTTGATGAGCACATGTCGCCCTTCACCATGACCTTTTTGAGATAATGATGATACCACAGAGTAGACTAAAAATGGCTCTGGTCTCTTTCTGTGTGGAGCCCTACCTTTGATTAAGAGTCCTTGGGGAGGACAGGGCGCCGTGCCATGGGCAGAGTCTGCGCCCCGAGGACTTGCCCTCCAGTCCCCATACCCTCTTTCTCTCTCTCAGCTCCAGAAGCAGCTCTCAGAGCTGGACGAGGACGACCTGTGCTATGAGTTCCGGCGAGAGCGGTTCACCGTGCACCGGACCCACCTCTACTTCCTGCACTATGAGTACGAGCCCGCCTCTGACAACACAGACGTCACACTGGTCGCTCAGCTCTCCATGGACAGGTATGGTGGGCCCCTCTCAGCTGGTCAGAATGGAGAGGTGGGGGACCGGGTTACAGAGGGTCTCGGGGAAACCTGGGCAGGTGGGCAGCCCTCTGGCTCTAACCTGTTGGACTTGAATGGAGGTTCCGTAAGGAACTTGACCACGACTGGTGTGCCAGGGTCACCTCTACACTTATTGAATTTTCTTAGCTTCTCACTCAGCTTTCTGTTTTGAAAGTCCATGATCTCCCTGCTAAGCAGCCTGGTTAGATTACCTGGCCACACCAGCACTTATTGTATATTCCTTTTTCCATCTTGCATTTTAAGAGTTGATGAATTTGAATTGTAAGAGTGTTGAATATATAGTATGTTGTTATTGTTGTTGTTATGTGCCGTCAAGTCATTTGCTAGTGACCCTGTGTACAAAAGCCCTAAATCCTGCTCTTATCTTGTACCAATCGCACTACCTCCGACACACCCATCCCGATTAACCCAGTCACTGAATCAATCCATCTCATAGAGGGTCTTCCCCTCCTGTGTTGTCCCTCAACCCTCCCAAGCATGATGTCCCTCTCCAAGGTCCCTCCTTACAACATGTCTAAAGTATGTCAGACAAAGCCTCAGAATCCTTGCCTCCAAGGAGCAGCCTGGTTTAACCCTCTCAAGGATGAATCTGTTTGTTTTCTAAGCAGTCCATGGTACACTCAAAACCCCAGACAGATCTATCTTGGAGTAAAGGCAATCAGGGCGAACCTTAGAGGCAAAGATGGTTTCACCTCATGTACTTGGGGCATGTTGTCTGGAAGTGCCATTTTTCCTTGGAAAAACATATCAGACTTGGAAAAGCAGAAGGTCAGCAAATAAATGACTCCCTGCAAAAGTGACTGCAGCAGAGGGTTTGAGCATGGCTGAGATGATGAGGATGACGCGGGATAGGCAAGGTTTAGATCTGTTGTTCATAAGAGACTATGAGTCAGTTAATTCAGTGGCTCTTAACAACAGTGACACCATGATGTTCACAAGGAAAATATCATCTAAGTCCCTACATTCATACTGAATGGTAATCTAGATGGGTCTCCTAGTTTTGTTTTGGGTTTGGGGTTGGTTTTCCCCCATCTTTTCCAAGTACAGTTTTATTTTTAAAACAAATTTGAAGTTTAACAATGGTCAGAGGCTGACTTTGTCAAGGGGAAGATGACCCCTTTTCTTCCTAAGAACCTCCCAGAGTATCCAGAGACCACTAAGACTTATTCCCGTTGCCCATGGGTCTGGTGGCACCAGTTTACCATGATTCTAAATTTCCCAATTTAAAAAAACCCACTCAAAAAACATGATCCTTAAACCCAGGTCAGATATATCCAAGAACTTGTGACCCTCTGAGTCTAACTTTAAGCTCCAAGACAGGTCTCTAGGGGAAGCATCAACACTCCTTAAGACAATCAACCATTTACTATCAAAAAGGGCTGCATTTACCCCAAAGAATAAACCTTGAAGGCAAGAAGAGATAGGAAAGGGAATATAGAAATGGTGTCCTTGTGGGGATTACAAACGCTGTCACACAAAATGCAAATTGTTGAATGGGAAAGCAATCCTAGATAGAGTTCAGCATCCTCCGATGCTCTTGTGGTCTTCCAGTTTTTGAGCATCAAAAATGCACCTCAGGTCCCTTAGGCACCTGAAGTTCAGCTATTCTAATATGCCCATGGGGGTGGGAGGTGAGTTCCAGATAAACTCCAACTTCACTTCGCTCAGAGCATCATTGCTTTTCCTCTGTTGCTTGCTTGAGTCTTCATCACTCTCTCAATTTTTCAGTAAAATATTCTCGTTGGAGATTAGTAGCAGTGACTCTGACCTAACTAAGGGGAGAAAAATGAACAAGTGATGTACTTTCTACTCAGAATACAGAGAAGTCCAATAGTGAGTAAGTGTGGTCTCTGGGGCCAGGCACTCTGGATTCCATTTATGACCCTGTCTTCTTGAGCAAGTCATTCTGCCTTTCTCAGCTTCGGTTCCCCCACCTATAATCTGGGGATGATAATGACAGTAACTCCCTTCTAAGATCGTTGGAAAGAGTCCATGAGATCATATTTGCCCCGTATTTGGTAAAGTACTTCAAAGTCTCCCCAAAGGATACCTGACTCTTAGCTGATACACTAACATTTGTGGTGCTAGATAGAAAGATTACTAGGCAAGGAAGCTCTGGTGGCCTATTGGCAAGAAGCTGCACTGCAATCCCAGAGGTACATGGTTCAAATCCACCAGATGCTCTACTGAAGGAGGGGCAACCTCCTCCTGTACCAGTCAGATGCGATTTGACAGTACATACATACAAAATAATAAAAAAAAATTAAAAAAGAAAGATTGCTAGGCAAATGGATAAACAGGTCCGGGTTCAAATCCTACCAAGTCCTTCACTCTTCTGCTGCAATCTTGGCTGAGTCTCTTAAGACCTTTGTGTATGTAGGAGTTTTGTCCCTGTAAAATAGAATTTAAAATGCCTGTCTGATAAAATCTTAGCTAGGAGACATATGAAGGAAGTATTTGTTAGCTCTCAGAGCATAATGCCTGTATAAAATTGTTATGTGCCGTTGAGTCACCTGTAACTCATAGCGACACTAACAACTCTGAATCTTGCCCTATCCTGAGTCATTCTCACTGACTCCGACACAGCTACACCCATTGCCCCAGTTACTGTGTCAGTCCATTTTATCCAGAGTGTCCTCTCCTGTGCTGTCCCTCCACCCTTCCAAGGATGATGTCCTTCTCAAAGGACTGGCCCCTCCTGGCCACGTGCCCACAGTATGTATGACAGAGCTTCAAAATCCTAGCCTCCAAGGAGAAATTTGGTTTCACCCTCTCCAAGACCAACACCTATTTGTTTTCTTGGCAGTCCATGGTATATTCAAGACTCTTCTCCAGCACCATAACTCAAAGGCATCAATTCTTCTTCTGTCATCCTTAGTCATTGTCCAGTTCTTTTATATAATAGCAAGTAATTGTGAAACCATGGCCTGGATTAGTTACATGTTAGTCTCTAGACTGTCATCGTTACTTCTCAGTACTCTGGAGAGATTCCTGACTTCAGATTTGCTAGCAATATCTCATTCTGTACACAACTACTATCCATGTGTGTGTGTGTATATGTGTGTGTGTCCTCTTTGCTTCTAGAACCTGCAGGAAATTATCCCCTGACCAAGGCTACATGTGACTTCACGGGTTCCTTCTTTCACAGCTAGAAGCAAAATAAATTTTAAAAAATGCCACTTCACCATATACACGTGCTGCAAACACTAACCTCAGAGTTCTTCCTTCCAGAACACTCATGTCCCCAGTCATGACAGACACATGATACCTTTAATGCCTTATGAGACCCTCACCATCCAAGTTATACCTCAGAGATCCAAGGAATTCTAAGCCAGACTGAAAAATGCTTAGCAAGACGTAAGCAAAATTTAAAAAGAAGTCATGCCCGCTGATGAGGAAGGTAGAAATTCCTCCAGCCATTTGCACTCCACTCAACACATCCAATTATGATGCAGCTCGCTGGCTGGTGCTGGCTGGATTGATTTTTAATTTAAGAAACATTCCGGGTGTGTTTGTAAACCTTCGAGTCAAAAGTAGGCCCTACGTGAATGCCAGAACAGATGAGGGGGAGTGACGTGCAGGCCTCCATGTGGGGCTCCCACTAGAATTCCATTCACAAAGAATGAATGTTGTGGCACCATTGTGAGCCCAGCGAGCAGGCCTATTTCTCGCTCTTGTTCAAGCTCCTGCCCACACAGCCCAGCACAAGACAAGAGTGGGGGGGGGTGGGGGGGAACGACGAGGAGTCTAATACAGGAAAGAAGGCTTCTGCCATCTGGCCAGGGCAAAATTTGACTTTTTTGATGAGTGTATTAAAATATATAAGAAGTGAAAATAAGGGATGATTCTAATATCTCTCAAGAAAAGGAAGATACAGAGAGGTATAGAAGGATAAATGAAAACTGGAATTAACAAGGGGTCAAAAGTGTTGCCACATTGTAGGTATTGAAACTGATGTTCCAGAGCAAAATGGCTATGCACAGTGGAGGAAAACTTATTTTTTTAAACTTTCACTCAAATTGCCATATAAGATAAAAATCCCTAAGAAAGAAAACTCCAATATAAGGTAGAAATCCCTAAGAAAGAATAGAATGTATATCCATCTATGTGTGTTTTTATGTTTGCCATTTGGACCAGGAGCATTTGGAGACACTCACCATGTTGTGCAGCCATAACTGGTATCTTTTCCAAATGTTTTCTTGACCTTTCACAATAACTCAGCGCCCCTTTCCTTGTCCACCTCACCCTGTAACCACTA